AAATTGTTTTTGTAGTAAAACTTCAAACTTCGCACGAAATTTCACACCGTAAAAACAATTTTGGAGAACTTAACTGGTGAAATAAATGCAACTAACATTAAGTAGTTCGAAAAAACCAATTATCCAATTAACTGCAGGAAAAAAAATAAACATGTTATTTGCCGGCTTAGGGTCGGTCCGTATAATGAAAAACTGTTACCTCGGGCTTGAAAATGCTGCCCTCGACCTGCGGCCTCGGGCAGCATTTTTAAGACCTCGGTCACAGTTTTTCACTATACGGACCTCCCAGCCGGCAAATAACATATATGGAGTTTTCAACTAGAAATAATACCCCAATACCTTCTTAAGGCTCCACACACTATTTCCCTGGGTTTTTCTACTTGCTGATAGATGAACCCTCCTCACAGTTCCAACATCAAGATCGGAGAACTCGGCTTTAATCACGAACAGGTCTCTAACGAAAACAACCACAACAAAAACTATCAAAAATCGGTCAAAGAGTGCTTTGTAAATAACAATCAAATGCGTCATCCTTGATCTCCTAAAATTTTAAGTCCACGGATATTTCGTTTGTAACCACTTGCAACAAATTAGGACTCAATTGGACCCTTTTGAGAGAGAAGCAACACACGCTGGGGATTGGGAAAGAAAATGATCACTACTGAGAAAGGCCTGAGTTTTAGTGGTATATACATCTACGTGATGTATCAATTTTGGATAAGTTGTACCTATAAACAGATTTGGGTGTTATATACTCTATCCACATACTAAAAGCAGCATTCAAGCCAAATCTGTATATCGACACCAACAGCAATTATTTTAACACCCTGGTCCTATCATACCCTTGCATTTCTGTTGTTGGCTCGGTCAAGGCGTGGTCTTCAGTTTGTTTGTCCCCCTGTCCTTGAATCCTAACTTTCAGATTGTACTCGTTGTTTACAAATGTCTCCTCGGTGAAAACTTCAATTGTGTATGTAACTGTTGAAATATTCAAAATGATTATGAATGTAGCAACCGCCACTGAAACTTGATAGACTACACAAGAATCTTTTCTAAAGTGAAACCCTGCATTACGGCCACCTCCTTAACACGCTCACCTTGATATGACAGCCACTTTATTCTAGGTCGGTCATTTTCTTATCTTCTTATTTAAAGAAACACTTTAATTAATACAGTCAACGCGTAAATATGGCCAGATTTTCGTGGCCCGTGTAGCCGGATTGATGGCATTCCATCCTATTTCGTTATAACTGGAATGGAAATTGATTCCGTTGCACTGCTCACTTGCAGAGGAGTAAATATTTCACCCAAAGTTACCATTGCTGAGACAACAGCCAGAATATAACAGCGTTATTCTTTTGGCTTAAAGGACTATTGAGTTGAGTTACTGCTGATTCACAGGAGTTACGATTTTTAACGGCAAATATGCAATATGTCCTCGGTGATGTTTTCCTTTCAAAATGAATTATTTGGCAGGAATTTCTATTTTGGAAATGGTCAGATTGAAAACGAGTAAGGATACTGACGCATTTTTCTCGGAAAAACAAAGGGTTAAAATTTGGAATGTGGCGGTACAGCCATGCAAACGAAAAATTCGAAAGAGCACATTCTGCCCTCTTACCAAGCGAGAAAAAAGAACATCGCGCGTTGTTAAATAATAATTCAACTTCTGCACACCTTAGAACAATCCGTTAAAATTGTATCGAGAGCAGTCTACACATTAATTTTTATATCAAAGGTTCTGTCCTGGATTTTCTTCTGCTTTTCATAAAATAGTTTGTGTCATCTTGAGTAGTTTGTATTACGCTAATTAATTTACATGAATTAAAATAAAATTCAGTGTTACCCGGACAGGTTACAAATCGTTTCACCCGAGCTGCAAGGAGATCTGCGATGTTGTTAAGGTTGCTAGAAGTAAAATCCTCGTCTATGGCATCATTTGGTTCAGTGACGATGCCTTTTAGCTCCTGTATTCGTTCTGTGTTGTCATTGTTGGGAATAAGGGCTCCGACTATTTTAACCTTGTTATTGACTCTCAACAGTTTTGCAGCTTTCTCAAGCCTGAAGGTGTCCATAATGTTTCCACTCGCACCTCTTCCATGTTCCGCTTTGCCGTCTGAGAATATTACTAGAATCTTGACAGTTGTTGAAATTTAAAGGAAAAAAAAATGAGAGCCACGGTTAACCATTCGTGAATAACAGAATTTAATACTTGTGATCTGCTAACTCGTAGTGTTTGTACAAGGCAAAATGTCTCAAAATTTGTAACATTCTACCCTTAAAGTTTTAATCCTGAATAGTATTCATGGCTATAATTGAATACCTTCAAATGGCCGTGCACATCGGGAAAGAAATAAAAGTAAAAATCACCTTTGCTGTGTCGTCGCCTTTTCTGTCGTCTCGTCGATTTTGAAATTGTTTTAAGATCATTCTACTTAGGGCCCGTTTTAAAAGGTTTTTAGTACCACGACGTCCATGATTGTATTCTCTGTCCATATAACTGATTGTATCGGTTGCGCTGCCAAAACAACTCATTCGCCTCGATTTAGCGTACGTTGCCAGTGCAAAGGTGAAGTCAGTTGACTCACTACCTAGAAGAGTCAGCAGTCTTCGCACCACGGTTTTTATGTTTCCAACTGTCGCTGTGGAAATATCCTGACTGTCTTGAATAAGAACAACTACATCGGCTTTGGTATTGCAGAAATCACCATCTGCAATTAACAGCACTATACATTAACATAATAAGGAACTCAGGACCCTGATGACCTCCATTTTGTATACAAAGTGTAGTGCAGATGACTGGGTGCACGAAAAAATACTGAACCAGTCTCAGTTTTCTGTAATGCTGATCAACCATGTGTGGCTTGAAATACATTTGCCTTTTTTAGTTCATCTATTTCCTAACTACTGAAGACAACAGTCTTATATCAAGACTATCAAGCATTGCCTATTTAACAATTATTCTACGAACGTGCATTGAATTCCAGGTGATAGACAGACAAAAACAAGCACAATCAAACAACAACGATGAAATGCTGCGAAAGTTCTGAATTAGATACCGTTTAATTTGGGTGTTAAAGGGGTGGTATGTGAGGACCACAGGCACTATATCAACTGTTCTTTCATCTCGTTCGGACCCGCTCAGAGCGTCTGGACGACGGATGGAAACGTCTGTGTTTTCATGAACATTTTTAACACTTTCCAATATTTATACATCCAGTATCGCTTCAATCGTTTTTAACCAAGTGTCACGCATCAGCAACGACTTTTTAGTCTCCCAATATATGATATACCTAGTTTGTTAAGATTCCTCTGAAATCTTGCTGAACGCTGCATAATCACAGTTTATCAGCCAACATAAAACTGCGTGTAATTGACACCTTACTAAATTAATCAGTTGAATTTCTTGGCTCATTCATAGAGGAGAGGGCTCGACTTTGGAATTACCTAATTTTAATCTTAAATTTAAAAGAACTCTTTCTCTTTCTTATTAACTAAGTTATGGAACAGTTTTACCTCTCAGGAACGTCTTTCAAGTGATGTAAATGACGTCATAAGTAAATTGCAAGATTTCAGCTTTTGTAGAACGATTGTAGAACGTGTCTTCTAGCTTCTCTGTCACGTTTCACGTAATCTTATAGTTGTTTACTTTTTTTTTCTTTTTTTGTAGGGCTTAGCAAATTACATATTATGTATTTATTGCTAATTTTCATATCTCTATTAAGTTGTTTTAAAATAGAATAACATTATTGGCTAGAATATAATAATTTTACTAGCTGTAATTACTATAGTTCTCATTTATACGCTTTGTAATTTGAGCGAGTTATTAGCTCCTTGACGAAACGTGTTAAAATAAATGATTGATTGATTGATTTATTTATTCTTGAGAAATATTGTCTAATTTTAGAAAACCCGCGCGATGTTGTAGAATAACCGTTAATCATACGATTTTAGAAGTGCACTGAACTGTGGGTAGATACTATAGTAATCTTTCCCATTCTATATTGTTTAGATCTCATTTCATAACTAGCATTCATGATTGTTTAAATATAATTATATTGTTGTTGGCTTCAACGATAACTCAAAACGATAACTTAAAGTACTTTCTACAGTTTTAAGTAAGAATATTCCGCACAAAATATCAATAAACTTACAACATCTGTAGGTATTCGTATCGTACTTGAAGTTTCTGTTCATGTTATCTAGATTACCACCACACTTGTCATGGTCTTGGAGTTCGTTCTCACAAAAATCATGGACTTTGCAACAGCTAATTATAAAAAGATACAAAATTAACGATGAAAAAAGAAAAGATGGACGGGCAAAATGGAGAAGACAGGGTTAAGAAGGAAAAGAATAAAAGAATGAAAAAAGCAAACATAGAAAAAGAAACAGAAAGAAAAGAAACAACTCGCTAGCTTTTCTTAGACCACTTGGGTAGAGAGCAAGCCAATCTTAATGTAATTAATATGGTAGATTTATATACGTACTAATCAAAGTTATCCACGACTTTTCCTTGTCCTCGTGGACCACACCAGCAACCGTAGTTGTAAACACCAAGAACATCAGTGTCACTGAGACCTGTCACTCTTTGTACCAAATTTTTCACTAGAATTAATCTTGGTGTTAACACGGCGGACCTCTCTCCTTTGCCTTCTGAAAAATAATTTTAAAAATGTTCCGCTATTTTGCTAGATATATCTTGTTGTGTTTGTCCTTTATTAGGTGACGGCTTTTTTGTGATATCGACCATTTGACTGTTTGTCCGCCAACCCTGCCTTTTTAACAGGGATAAATATACTGGCTATTTTCAGATCTCTTGTAGATCCTACGTGGGCAGCGTTTATCGTACGCGGTCCCTTGCAGTTTCTGGTTTCTATTTTATACGTACAAATGAACAATAATTACCTGCTGTCAAATCTGTATCATTTAGTCGATCATGCAGTATTGATGATGCTCGGCCTGTTAAAAATACGTACCGATGATAAATAAACTCCATCGACTTCTCACAACTTTAACTACACCGTAAGTATAGGCAGAAAACTTTCTTTTAGGTAATCAATTCCTTCAATCGGTATGGCTTTTTCGTTTATTTTAGAAGCTGTTGATAAGTTCATCTTTAGACTGGAGGGGTCTCGCCGAGAATTGTAACTCCCGAGTTTTAGGCAATCAAGATAATCTACTCAAATCTAATGGAAAGATAGTAATGAATGTTGCAACTACGTTAATCATTTGCGCCCAACAGAAAAATTATTCTGATCAGAAAAGTTTGATGTTCATGACTTCAGTATGCTGCAGTACCAATACAAAATCCAAAGTAGCGAATTGATAACAATATGATAGATAAATAAATAGTTTTAAGATGTGACAATAACGGGAATAGCGTATACTGGGGCTAAAATGAGAAACAAACATTGCAAATCAATTCTTAACTTTTTCACTTACGTTCTTGATGCTGACATATTTCAATAAGATTTCTAAAAGCTGTTATATGTAATCTTTAAACAGGGAAATTAACGTAATTAAAGTTACATAATCTTATTACCAAAACTCAAAACCACGAGAAGCATTGCACATCCCACAGTGGAGACAATCTTCATTTCTGCGCTGTGTGAAGAAGATATGATGCGCAATTAGTGGCGTACACTGGAGACAGTGCTGTCAGTGGATTTCTGACTCGAGAAATTTAGTCTGCACCGCTTAATCACTACTTGTACAGGACATTTCTCTGATTTGCCTTGCCATCGCAAAATATCTCCTGCCTCATATTCTTAACTGAAAGGTTCAATCTCTGCAGCTCTAGAAAAATGAAACAGATAATAATAATAAAAAAGGACACAACTCGGTTTTCCTTTACAGTCTACTCTTTTTAGTGGATGAAGTATTGATATATGAAAAGGATAAATATTATCTTAATTTTCTAGAAAGGCGCGTAAATGCACCGAAAAAACTGGAACAAAACAAGACGGTATCAATTTGTGAAAGAATCTGCTTACTTCTGACTTAAAACAGACGAATTAATCTGTTTACTGCGGTCTTTTGCTTGGAAAGGAGTTCTTCAGTTGCTCGTGAGCTCATATAGTTAATTAACGCCAGTTCATAGTCACAATACATAATATTAGGTAATTGTAAAAGACAACCTGAAGTTTAAATTTTTAACGATGTGCAGAGCAAATAGTTAACTTAGACACAAGATTCAACCTGCAAATCAAAGCAGGGGGGAACATATGTTAGGGACCTAGGTTATTCTCCAATGTTTTCATGCGTTTTGATTATCGTAGATGAAAACTTCAGCTTCTTTAGCTTTGGAAAACCTTACCAGTGGAAAAAAATTGCTCGGATATTAATCTCTCTGAAACGTGAGTCACCAATTATTTACATAATCAATTGTTGAAGTAATATACCAAACACGAAAGAGATTGGTAAGATTTCCTGATAGGAAGCAGTTACGCGCGACAGGGTGTGCTACATCACATTTTTTAATACGAAAAGACAGTTGAAAAGGCAACCAAGCTTAGATTTTCGACGATGGAAGAGTCAGGTGAACTTAAAAGAAAACGGAAATAAAAATCGCAAAAATCTCTGCCTGTTTAGGATTTCCTTTGTTTAAACGAAACGCATTAATTATCGATAACATCGAGAAACGTTCTAAGAATAATATATAGCACTATTCGTTCAAATACATGTAGCTTTTAAGAAATCACTGACAATTACTATTATTACTTCTTTCATACAGCAAAGTTGACGAGTTGAGAAATGAATGAATTTCATACAACCTAGATGGCGATTTGTTTAGACTCGTACTTCCATTTTTTTTAGCCTCTCAAAAAATCACCACCTGTTGAAATCACGGAATTGCATATTACTGTTGATCACGGAATGCCAATAAAATTTTAGCGTGAATGGATTGTGACGACGAGACCAAACTAGTCATTTTTTTTTTTTTTTTTTTT